GCTCTGGCCACAGCGGGTACGGTGCTACCGGGGTTGCCCGGGGCAAGCAGCACCAGTCATGCAGCCGCGAGTGCAGGGAACTGAGGCACGGGCAACAGTGTCACATGGGTGTCTCAGGAGGGATTGCTGTGTAGCCCAGTGCCGGGCAGGGCGCTCGATCAGTTGCTTAAGAGTGCTGTAGCGATGAAAGTCTAATTCGTAATGATTCATGCCGCCAGCAAGTGGCTCCCCGGCGTCCAGTTCTCCCCAGAGATACGGCACTGCCCATCGGCCCTCCGGAGACAGAAATTACAGTGCTACACACTATTGAAACCCGTATTATCTGAAGCAACAACAATAGCAACAACAACAAAAAGAAAAAAAAAATGTGTTACAGTTCCTCCCAATAGGAGGGGGAAAGGCTGAGTCTGAAAGTGAAATGAGAAAACTATCTCTGGGAACAATCTTGAATAAAAAAGAGCGTCAGATTGACACATCATAAGCAAATCAGTTAATATCCAGTTAATAATAAAACCCCAAACAATTGCAAACCTGGGAAACATCTGTCAAAGAAAAAAAAAGTGTTGTGATTGACAGGCTTAACTCTAGCTGTCTGTGAAAGGTAAAAGAAAGTCCTACGACATAACTTCTGTGGCAGGCGTTCTACTATCTTAGATAGATTTCGTCCAGTTCCTCTTTATGAGGGGACCAGGCTACATTTCTCTACCTCCAGGCTTGCAATCTTTACTGTAAGTGATCAAGGCACAGAGATCCACTGGATATGTGGAGCAGAGCTGCACTCCTGCATGCCTGTTGTGTTAGCTGATCGTACTAAGTTTTACATTTTGTGCCCTATTGAATGAAGACTTACACTGTTGAGACACGGACAAAATAAAACGCACTGGTAATTGATATTTAAGTATGCTTTGCTCCTTCACTACCAAGCCCTATTTTCTTTTTAATGCCTCCTCAAGTGCATGGCATGGTTGGCTTATAAGCAGCTGGCTATTTAAAGTCCCTTTCCCTTCAGAGAAATCAAAGTTTCTGCTTCTTGCTGTTTAGAGCCAGCCTGATGCAATGAAGAAAGTGCAAGTCTGGGGAGGCAGGAAAATCTCAAGGAGATTGTCCCAGCTTTCTTGCATGGTGGTGGGCCAGTCATTTAGCCTGAAATTAGTGTTTCAGAGCCACAGGGAATGTGGGGTTTAGGAGTCCACAAAGAGCTCCTGGGGAAACTGTTTCCAGAGGTTTTTTGCACTGACATAGCCAAGGGAAGTCAATTTCAGACATGTTTTGCCAAGAACTTCCAGTGGGGAAAAGTAGGCAGGGTACTTTTTCAATTGAAATCTTTTAAATCCACTTTACTTTTGAATTTATTTTTTGTTCAGAGACTGAAAGTCATTTCACTCCGAATTAAATTGAGAGGCAATTTAGGCAACCATGTAGGAAGGGGAGGGAGTAGGAGGTGGAAGATGCAGATGAAGGGAAAAGTCACTATTTTGATGTGATAGCGTCTTTAATACTACTAAGCATTTAAACAGTAAAATGCCAGTTAAACTTTCAAGCAACTAAATGAGGTGTTACTAGGTGAAGCACCTAGAGAAATTCTTGAAGGAAAGCCATAGTCTCATAAAATCCGATCTGATTTGAGAGCAAATGAAACTTTAACACTGCCCAACCTTAATAAGTCCAATTAAAATATTAATGTTATTCAGTTATGACACAGCTGCAGCAAACAAGAGGTTCCTCAGTAAGTACAAAAAGAAAAAGCATTAATAAGCATGTCAGAAGAAGCTTTCCTGAGCAATTTAATTGTACACATTTCAAAAAAAGAGAGCACTACATACTCTTGATACTCTCACTTTATGACTCTATTTGTCAAAGTAAAACTGAAATGCTACAATTTGATCACAGCATTTTGTTCATGTGGTTGCATATTACAGTTTGGTTTGAAAAATATTTGGGGTTTGTATTTTTTTTACTATTCACCAGGATAAGATACAGCACTTGCGTTATTCAAGAAATTATATTCCAGTAATTGTTTCAAAATGAATGAGCTTTGCTAGGGAGCTAAGGAAATTAATGATTTCACTTCACTGAAACTGATCCAGTATGTGTGGTTTTCTGTGGGAGAAGTTCCAAACAGGTGGAAGAAAAAAGAGCCAGGAGACAACCTACTGACTACAGCCTTCTTGAATTTTCTCATTAGGCATCTTGGAAATACAGCCAAGAGGAATTAACACTACTTCACTCTGTTCAAAGCCCTCTGAAGAACAGCTATAACTTTAAAATACAGAAAAGCAAACAGGATTTTCATGGCTGAAGTGACTGTATCATTGAAACCTGTCCCCTCTATACAAGCACCTGCATTTCACTATGAGATTCACTTCAAAATACCTGCTTCACTTCTCACACCTTTCATAAACCACAAAATGTCTCACAGTACTTTAACAAATTTAAGCTTTGAACTGTGAAAGACCAAAAGCTATAAGAAGGAGACAGAAAATTTTAAGGCAAGTGTAGCTGCATAGCTCTCAGCAAAACTGGTCTGGATCAAAATGAGACCAAATTTGGCAATCTCTTTAGTCCTGACTTTGTGGGCAAGATGAACCAGCCAGGAACTTAAATGACTTTCACTACCAGTAGCAGAACTATTCCCTGTGTCCTATCTATAGCTATGGCCAGTTTGTGAATTCCCCCAAGTAGAGTCTGTTTTACCCATGATGGTAACTGGTGAATGATCTCCCTGTCTTTATCTTGATCCACGAGCCTTTCATTGTATTTTTCTCCCCCTGTTCAGTTGAGGAGGGGGAGCGATAGAATGGCTTGGTGGGCACCTGGCATCCAGCCAAGGTCAACCCACCACACCATGTAGTCCTGTCCGGCCAGCTCAGAGATGTCTAGCTGTGGCCCACTAGGACCTGTTCAGTGCTGAGACATTCCAGTAGCTCTGCAAGAATCAGCTTGGGTCTAACAGAGGTAACAGCATCAGCACAGCGCTCAGCTTCAGGGCTGGGTTAGGTCCTGCAAAGGTACTGAGATGTCTCTCGGTCTGCTCCTTAACAGTCCCAGTTCTGCCAACACAGATCAGTGACAACCAAGCTCAGGCCTGGCAAGATCTGCTAGCTCTGGTGCCAGTCATGCCAAAGCAGCAGTGCTGCTTCATGGCTTTAACAGGTCTTGGGAGTGGTACAGCTGGGTTCACACACTGCTAATTCA